TTGGAGTTGAGGGGAATTTGCTAAGCAAAGATTTTTCCTGCCTGATCTGGTGACGATTCCTATTGCAGGTTCTGTTTGGTTCGCCTACAGGGTGGTCTTGAGCACTTAGGTTTTCTCTTTCCTGCTTCTGCCCATCAGCAGGTTTTTATTAAAATGAACTCCCAATGTTACTGCTAGTTTATGCCTTTTAAATGTGTAAATGATAGACATTCCAAGATGCTTGTAAATATAAATGTCCTGGGGGGGGGGAATTTCAATTTTTATTTTTACCACAGTGTGACCTAACTCTTAAAACTTTGTGCATCAAAAGTACTTGAAAGGTTTGTGAAAACAAAACAAAACAGATTGCTGGCCCTACCAAGGAGTTTCAGATTTAGTAGGTTTAGGGTGAGGCTGAAGAATTTTAAGGAATTCCCAGGCGATTCTGTTGCCGCTGCTATTCTGGGGGTCCACATTTTGAGAACTACTTGTCTGGCATATGACTTACTTTATATGCAATTCTTACATGCAAAACTGTAACAAATAAGGATTAATATTTCATCTTACAGAGAGGGAAATTTGGCTGAGGATAGTGACTGAGCTTATTCTCAAGTGAAGCTGGCCAAAAACACACCTCTCCACCATCAGGCTGGCCACCAGCTTCACATTTTTCTTTGATATAAGGAGGCATAGAACAGTTTTATGCTATGGTTAAGAAATACCTTTGCTAAACTGGGTGTTCCCTACAGGAGTGATTCTGGACAAATCATTTTGCCTCTTCAAGCCTAGGTATCCTCAAAATGAGCAAGTTGGCCTACAGGAGTTAGACAGGCATCAGCATCCCTAAACTCATACTATTTTCCCTCCTTGTGTCCCATGTCTGGAAAGATTTTGCCTTGTACAGAATTCTTTACTAAGAAACTGTGCTTTTTATTTTTAAGTAGCCAAAGTTGTCTTTTCTACTGATTAGCAAAAGATAACCATGGTTGCCACCTTGAGTGGATGTTTCAGCAAGAAACAAACAAATTTTATTTGATATGAATCTCAGAAGCTTCCTGTAGTCTCAGTGCTGATGTAAGGTGTGGAAACTTATGCTGCATAAACCATAATTGGCTCAACCAGGGCTTCTTTCTGTAGGATAATATTTCTAATGCCTCTGATATCACATCTAACGCCCAGAAATGAAATAAGAATGAGAAGTGGAAATGGAGTTCAGAAAAATGAAGTTCAATTTATACAAACACGCTGTTGTCCCTTTTATGTCTATTAATTGTATGTTAATGTTAATGTCTATTAATTGTATGTATATTTTAATATTTTTAAACATTTCTCTATGGGTAGATTTGATTTTCTTCTCACTTTTAGGATAAATAACACTCTGTTTGCCCATTAGAACATTGCCTGACATTATTAACATTAATAGTGGGACCCATTTTGAGGTTAGGTAGTGAAGCAAATCCATGCTAATTTTTTAAAATTTAATTAAATTAATTAATTTATTTATTTTACAGAGGATCTGACCTTTACAGTCAGGCTGACTGACCTTGAACTTGCAATCCTCCTGTTTCATCCTCCAGAGTAACTGGGAATGCTTTTCTGTGTAAAATAATGCTTACACCATCCTGAGTAAGAGGAGATGAGAGATGAGTCACATTTTTAAGGAAGAAATTGAGCATACTACATATCATATATCTGAAATGACCATTTGCTACACTAAACAGGAAAACTGTGTTAAGCTATTATAAACTAGTCATGGGCAAGGACCTTCACTTTGATTTCCTTTGCCCCGAGATTTTAAAACACTAGTAGATTACTAATGATAGGTAATATCACTTCATGTCTTTGAACTCTTACGAGTTGTTTTCCGTCTCATTATTCACAGATTGAGGACTCTACCCCAGAGAATTCTGAACACCGCATCACTAATTTCAACCCTTTAACTAGGTCCTAATTAGGGACTGTTTATGAAATTTCTCATTGGCTCTTCTTTGAATCAGACCATAGATGGTCTACTTTGGTTGCTTACCAACCCAAAAGTGCTTGGTGAGAACTCTGAATACAGGCATCCCACTGTCAGAAAATTTCAATTCTAGCCATTGATCAAGTAGACCATCTTCTTTTGATTAATGTACAGATATTATAATAATAATAATATTAAATAATAATAAGGCCACAAAAAACATAGTGTCTTTGTATAATACCACTGCCAGATGATATGGAAAAAATTATTGAGACAAGGACCTCATATCTTCTTGGGAAACTACTATGTAAAGGACTGGTGCTTTGACAGGTGGCTGTTATTTTTATGAACTAAATACAAATACCTTTTTACAAACAAAATGAAATCTTAATTATCAGCAAAACATTAACAGCCAGATCCACATAGGTTGTATAATGGATAGGGAGTGACAAGGTTGGTATTATTGGTAGAAGTTTTAATATGATTACTTGATTTACCTTGAGAATCCCAGCTGACCTTGATTTTAACCTTTTCCCGGTTCCCTCTTCTGTTCCTTGTGCTTTGAAACCACACTCTCCTTAACCACTCCCCTCGAAACTCTATAGCTAATTTTCTGGAATTCCTTCTATTCTAAATAGATTATATCTTACCACTCAATGACTACATTAGTCATTTCCTGAGATTGCCTCTTTATTTGCTTCTTTGTTTGGCTGTGGATAAATGGATCAGTGACATTATTGCAGGAGTAGGTTAGTTATCACACGAGTGGGCTTATTAAAAAAAAGTGAATTTGGCCCTTGTTGCTAACTTGTTCTGTCTTGTCTTTCTGCCTTTTGCCATGTGATGGTGGAGCAAGAAGGCCTCACCAGATGCAGCCTGGTGATCTTGGACTTTCCAGCCTCTAAAACCATGAGCCAGAAAAACCAAATATTTTTTCTTTATAAATTACTCAGTCTTCAGTGTTCTGTTATGGTAACACAAAATAGACTAAGACATAGGTGTTCCTTGACCTTGGCTTCAACTGATGCTTGGTCACAAGAACACTGTCTATCATTCAGAAGATCTTTAAAGATGAAAAGTTGGAGGACATGTGTAACTAATCGATACCCCTAAAGTTGTTGTGACATTAGATGAGATAATGTGTGTTAAATGTTTACTCTAGTGCCAGGAATATAGTAAATATATGATGAAGAAATGTCTTATGTATTACCTATGCAACTTCAGACAAGTCACTCTATAAAACTGAGCTGCTAATATCAACCTGGCAGGGTTGTCACTGGGCTTGGTACCTAATGCATATCTCAACATCAGTTAATAATAATTTAATAATACACCTTTACTCTTTAAAGAAAAGAAAAGGAATTGGAGTGAATTTTCCAACAGTACCGCTGGATAACCATGATGTCTTTTACTGACTAAATGCAGTACAGTTTTTGCACAACAGAGAGTTGTCATATGTCATAAGACCAGCTAAAGAGTGAATCTCTAATGATTGGTTCATTTAGTGATTAAAGAAGAAGATGTTAGGTTTTAACCCCCAAAAATGAGTCTAAGGAGGCCCACATGGTGAAGAAGAGGTAGAGAAGGATTTACATGTCTCAAAGTTAGGCCTACTGTAGGGTTCAGTGTATAACACTGAACCAAATTTTTGAACACTTAATAAATTTATGTGTTTTACATTCATTTACTTAACCAATATCTATTGAGCCTAGTATTTGCTGATAGGCACTGTTCTAGTTGAGAATAAGGTATTTCCCAAGTCAGACTTTAATTGCTGCTCTGATTGGGCATATTTTCAGGGAGATTTCATGGGTTATTATAATAATCCTTCCAGTGATGTCTCATAGGTATTAGTAAACCTACTTTATACATAAGGAAACTTGAGAAAAAGAAGAATTAAATAGCTTCCTAAAAATTACAAGACCAAGAGTGATGTCAACACAATGGAGGAACTGCAGGCTTCTGGCCATCTCTTCTCCCACGAACACTTCAAGCCAGCACCTACACACAGATATGTTCTCTCCAGAGAAAGCCAGTATCCACTTGAAAGACTAACACTGGATGACTGAAAAAAAAAATGATCCCACCATCAAAAATGGGCAGGAAAAACAAAAGATACACTTCCTTAATAAAACCACCTTTAACACAACACTTTATAATTAGAAAAAAAAATCCCAATACCCAGCTTCTTTCTGAGGTATAAGGAGCTTGTATCACACATATAAAGCTCAACTCTTACTGTCTCTGCCAGAGACCTTGGCTCTTAAATGGCCAACCTCAAGAAATGACAGAAACAGGACATTCATTGGAAGATTTCCTTCAAGCCCAAAGCACAAAGAGAAGCACTCCCAATAGCTATAGCCCCCAGAATCAGTCCAGCTTCCAACTTTCCCCTGAAAAGAGTTTGGCCTTTGGCTGCGTGCTTTTCCACAGTTCCCTGTGATTCTGGCCTCAAACAAGCAAGTATTCGGAAGCACGTGTAGCAAATCAAAACTAAACTTCTTTCACATGCCCTGTGCCTTCTTCCCTGGCTTACTCTAGTGATAATTCCAGCCCTGCAATATCTACATGGAAAGGGGTTGGAGTTCTTTGCCAGGAGGAACAGCATTTCCTGTGCCTTCTTCCTTAACTTGTTCTAGAGGTTAAAATCCCACAATCTCTCATTGGAAGGAGGGGGAATATCTCATGCCTAATAGAGAATACTATCATTTCATGCACCTTCCTCCCTGGCTGGCATTAGCAAAAACTTCAGACCAGAAGTCTATCCTTGCTAGAAGAATTAGAGACTTCTGCTTGCTTAACAAGAGAAGGGGCCTACCCCACCTTCTTCTCTGGCTTGATCCAGCAATAAATCTAGATTTGCAGACCATCCCTGGAAGTAGTTTCTGCATATATAGAGCATTCCAGATTTTATACCTTCACCTGAGATTAGTTCCTGAATCATGTAGGTCTGGGAATTGATGGAGCCCTGTACTCTAAGTATCCTAGACCATAGAAAACAAAAAGGTAACTTTTAAAATTGCAAACATTCATCATCTTTCTTCCCAGGTACAAAGTAAACACTTTAAGACTACAAATACCATCCTCAGACCCTGTCCTTGGTGTAGAGCAGGAGGAGTGGGAAATAAACTCAGATTCTCTGTATGGAAAAAAGGAACTGGTGCACATATCTAACACCTCAACCTCTCCAGCTGCAATCCAAAGGACTGGCTTCTGTCCCACCTCTCTCAAGGTAATAGCACAATTTGACACTCTAATTTCTTGGAGGCCACTAAGAACAAAGACAACAGGTTACATAAACACAAAAAGTTTGTAGGTAACTAGAATCTCTAGCTGGGCTGATTGGGGAAACACATCTCCTACACAAGACCAGGCTACCAACAATTGGAGAGATGGTTCTTTTATTTAGTGCACAAAATCCAATACAGAACATCAAGGAAATTTAAGAAAAATGGGCATATGTTCCAACTAAAAGAACAAGACAAATCTGCAGAAGCCAGCCTAATGAAATGAAGATATGTGATTTACTTGATAGGAAATTCAAAAGGGTACTCATAAAGAATGCTCACTGACATAAAGAGAGCAATGTATAAACAAAGTAAGAATTTCAAGAAAATATAAGACATTGCCAAATAGAAATCTTCAAGCTGAGGAATACAACAAATGAACTAAAATATTCAATAGATTCAACATTAGACTACACCAAGCAAGAGAAATAATTATTGAAAAGCAAAATGAAAAAGAGTGAAGAAAGCCTAAGGGACTTACAAGTCACTATCAAGCCAAATTTATATATATATATATATATATATATAATCACTGTACCAAGAAAAGAAGAAACAGAGAAAGGACAGAAAACATATTTAAACAAAAAAACAGCAGAAAACATTCCAAGTCTGGGGAAGGAAATAAAAATCCAGAGCCCAGAAACCCATTGGATTTTTAATAGAATGCAACTAAAGATACACACAATAAGACATATTATAACCAAACTATGAAAAATTAAAAGACAAAGAATATTGAAAGTTTCAAGGGAAAATAAATTGCTGGGTACAAGAGACTACCATGAAACTATCTGTAGATTGTTCAAAAGAAACCCTGCAGGCCAAAAGGGAATGGAATGATATGTTTAAAAAGCTACAAGAAAATAACTGCTAACTAATAACTATACCCAGCAATTCTGTCTTCCAAAAATAATGGGGAGATTTAAAAAAAAACTCTTTGACAAAAGCTGAGGGGATTTATCACCATTAGACCTGCTTTATAAAAATTCCCAAAGCACCTTTCAATTTGAAGGATCATTAAGTAGCAACATGAAAATATATTAAAATATAAAACTCACTGCTAAAATAAGTGAATAGTCAGACTTAAAATATTCTTATACTATTGTTATGGTTTAGCTATGAGGTGTCCCCAAAAAGTTTATGTGTGAGTCAATGCTAGAGATTTTAGTGGTAAAATGATTGGGTTATGGGAGCCTTAACCTAATAAGTGCATTATTCACTGATATGAATTAACTGGGCTGTAACTGTAGGCAGGTAGGATGCAGTTGGAAGAGATGGGTAACTGGGGGTGTGCTTTGGGGATTTATATTTTGTTCCCAGTAAGGGAAGCTCTTTTTCTGCTTCCTGATTGCCATGTCCTGAGCTGCTTTTCTCCACCATACTCTTCTGCGGTGATATTCTGCTTCACCTTAGGCACAGAACTATGGAGTTGGAGATCTAATGGACTGAGACCTCTGAAACCATGAGTGCCAAATAAACGTTTCCTCTTCTCAGAGTGTTCTTGTCAGGTCTTTTGATCACAACAGCAGAGAAGCTGACTAAGACACTAATGATGGTGGTGTGAAAATCAATTTTCTCTATTTTGAAGATCAAATGACAAAACTATTAAAACACAACTACAGCTAAGGATAATTTGTTGAGGGATGTTACAGTTTGGATACAGTTTGAGTATATCCCTCCAAGGATCATGTGCTGGAAGTTGGATCCCAGTATGACAGGTTAAGGTTGTGGAATCTTTCTTTTTTTAATTAATTATTTTTATATTGTTGACTTTTGTAGTTTTTTTTTACTTTTAAAATTTGTTATATATAACAGCAGAATGCATTACAATTCATAGAGCACACTTTTTTCATATCTCTGGTTGTATATTCACACCATTCGTGTCTTCATACATGTACTTAGGGTGATCATGTCCATCTCATTCCAAAGTGATGGAATATTTAAGAGGTGGGGCCTAGTGGAAGGTGGTTAGGTCACTAGGGGGTGCTGTCTTTAGAAGGTATTAATATGGTTCTTGAGAGATCATGTAGTTCCCATGACAATGATTTTCTTTTTTATAAAAAGTTAGCTTGAATCTCTCTAGTTACCTATACCAACATGAGATCTCTCTCTCTCTCTCTCTCTCTCTCTCACTCACTCATGCTCCTATCGTGATATCATCTACCATGCTGTGATGTAGCCAGAAGACCCTCACTGGAACTAAGCATATGCAGGCACCATGCCCATGAATATCCAGAAATGCAAGAATGACTGGCTATCTTAATAAAGTACACAGCATCTGTTATTTTGTTATAGCAATAGAAAACTGACTAACGCAGCAACAAAACCATAAGACACAAAACATGTAAACAAAAACAAATTGGGGGGAGGGTAAAAGTGTAGAGTTTGTGCAAGTATCAGCTTACAATACCCTGTTATCAATGTAAAGTATTTTATGTAAGCCTCATGGTAATCACAAAGCAGAAATCCTTGTAGATGCACAAAAGAAATGAAGAAAGGATTCAAATAAAACCACCACAGAAGCCACAAAGAAAGATGCAAGAGAAGAGAGAAACAAAAAAGTCTACAATTTTCCAGAAAACAATTACCAAAATGGCAATAGTAAGTCAATACTTATCATTAATTACTTTGAATATAAATGGATTAAATTCTCCAGTCAAAAGACATAAAACAATAGAATCGATTTTATGAAGACCCAACTATGTGCTGCCTACAAGAGACTTATCTCAACTTTAAAGACACACGTAGGATAAAAGGGAAAGGACGAAAAAAGAGTCCACCCAAATGGAAACCACAAAAAAAAAAAAAAAAAGGTAGTTATATTTAAGTCAGACAAAACAGATTGTATTTCAAAAGCTGTAAAAAGAGACAAAAAGGTCATGTTAAAAGAATCTATTTGCAAATGGTATATTACAATTGTAAATATATATGTACCTAACAAATAGGAAAACTACAGGCCAACATCCCACACAGATGCAGAAACCCTCAACAAAATACTAGTAAATCAAATTTTATTGTTTTCATTTCTGAGTAGAAGGGGTTTCCATTTGTATGAACCTCCAGAAACGTGAGCTAACTAAACCTTTCTTTATAAAGTTACCTTGCTTTAGATATTTCATTGTAATTATGATAAATGGACTAACACACAACTATTCATTTCTTTCCTTTTTGTCAATTGTTGTTGCTACCCTTCCCTAATTTTTTACCAGGTTGTTTGTTGTTCTTTATATATTTGATGAGAAAGAAAAATGACAGATGAAACTAGCTCAGAGGGTAACTAGCCTATAACTAGTACCTAAGACAAATTGTGCCCTACTTTATATAAACCATTTCACAAATCACCAACATCAGACAAGGTTATTCTGTGACTGTGATGAAGTAAGACAAAAATACGAACATTGTTGTGTGGTGGAAATAAGGAGATGACCAAAATATAACTTCATAACTTCTGTGGCTTATTGCCATGCAGAGAGTGGCAATGCACAAAGAGAAGGAGAATGATGTGACCAAATCTCACTAGGAATACAATCAGTTGACAAAGTACATTAGCCATAGAGCAAGGGAGTTCCGAAAATTATTGAAGCCAAATTGCTCAGTAAGTATGGACTCAGGCCTCTGTGAAAGTAAAGTTTAATTAAAGTTTGAGGCACATTTGTATACAAGTCATTCTTGGGAGAAGCTATTTGACCAGTATGGCCAAGATCCATGACATAACATGAGGTCCCCTGGCGGTAGAGCATGGAGGCTCGTGTTGGCAGGTGAGATTTCAAAGCTTCAAGACTAATATGGTATCAACCTGTTTCAGTTTGAGCTCCTGGCTTTCTGCAATGCTGCTGACAGATTGCAGACTTTCACAGCCTATATTGGGTCTTCAGAGAAGCAGCAGAGGAGTGTAGCCTGGTGCAACCTAAGTTCTCAAAGTGGCAATCAAACTTGAATTTATACATATTTTGAAGTACAGTAGTTGAAGACAGAAACTTACCTATAGGGACTCTGAAAAGCTTTGATATAATGTTCCTAAGGGAAAGGAGAATCCATTCCAAGTTCCCACATATGAAATATGATAATATGTCATAATCTTAAAGGGATAGTGGAATATACTCTAAAACAAAAACATCATATAAGAAGCTAATGTTTGGAATTATTGCAAAACTACATGATAAACACTCTGAAATCATATCTGAGCATAGAGAGGAACACTGGACAAATGACAAAAATGACCAAACATCCCCTTTCCCAGTTAACATGAGGACCTGTTGCTGTTTTGCCAATTATAGTTTAGCTCCAGTAGATTCTTGTTGCAAAAAGCAACAGACCTTAACCCTGCCTACAGGAGTGTTTCCTGATATCTTTAGCTGGTGTTTCCTGGTATCTTTAGATATTTAGATGTTAACACTTAGCTCTCACGCATGATACAGATATTTTCTCCTTGTGTTTTTGTCTTTGAAACTGATTTATGGTATCTTTTGTTTGGGGTAAGTTTCCAAAGGTCATGATATCAATGTTGTTCATAACTTCTTAGTTTCAAAGTGACTTGTTTTCCCACCTTAGATCATAACATTTTTGTACATTTTCTTTGAATTTTTTAATGTTTATCTCTTCAATCTACACGGCCTTTGATTCTGTATGCAGTTAACAAGTATTGAAGTTTTCCCTTCAAATCTAGGACACTTCTGGACTTAATCCCATCACTTTCTCTGGGCGGCTTTCCTTGGCTCTCTCATCTGTCTTCTCAAGAGCGTCCTTTCATTTTGTTCCCATAGAACACAACACAACACACAGTCTGAGAGCAAGGCAGCCTTTTATTTTATTATCGTGCCTCTGTGTCCTAGGGTATTGACTACACCGAGATTTAGTCCTCGGATGGTTGCCATGGCAACGGGGCAGGCTTTCCAGGTCCTCAACCGCACCTGTGCCCTACCATCCGCTAAAAAAACTCCCCCGCTCGCCTCACGCCCTCTAGCAATTTTCTCCCCAGATACTTCAAATTAAGAAAACTTCCCGATTAATTTCCATACTTTTCGCCAAAGCCCCTTTCCTGACTTGGACCCCTTCTTGCCCTAAGGCTGAGAGGACGCAGGCAATCGAACCGGTCCACAGGGACCACGCAGGGCCAGGGCTACTGCAAGAGGTGCTGGAGGAACACCGAGAGGCCCGAGGGTAAAGCAGAAAGTTTCTATTTCGTTGATCAACCCTTCACCGCACATTAAAACCAGGGTGGGTGTGTTGGATCCTAAGACCCAGACTGGCGTGACTCGCGCTAACCCCCAAAGGAGGCGCACAATTCTCGGAAGGGCGTTTTGAGGACAGACGCTGAGCCATGCCTTCTGGGAAATGTAGTTTCAAGGCCTCCTGGGTTCTGGAGCCTGAGAGGCACCTCCGCCTATAAATGGTATGGCCACCATTCCCTCTCAGGGAAAAAGCTATTGTGCACTTTATTAATGAGATATAGACCAGAAATGAGTGAGAAGCTACAATCTTAGGTAGAATTCGGTTGCTTCCTAAAATTCTCTGTCCTGAAGAACTGACCCTACTCTTTCCTTCATTCTCTGTCCTTGAAACTGCGGAGGGTTTCAGAATCTGGCTGGTTTTCCACTCTCAGTTTGTTTGTTTCTTTCCCCAAGAGCGCCAACTGGAAAGCCCAAATATTTGGAATGGCTCAGTATAGTCCTTGACACAAAAAAGCCAATAGGTGTACGGTGTTTGTTGAATTTAATATAGTAAAAAAAAAAGGCTCTGGGAGTAAAGTGATCCTCCACTGTGGTACTGGTATAACAGAGAATTAGATGCTGCTTTTGCTAAAAGCGGTGGCTCTTTATTTGGGTCTGCTGATTCCTGATGGGTAGCTAAGAGAAGGATAAAGTTTTGACATCTCTGCTTTCATTTTGTATCTGTCCTCTTTCCCCTAAACCTTTGGTGGGATTCTTGCTAACCTTGCACACAAACATGTTAATAATTTAATGAGTGTTTCTCTAAAAACTGGTAATACAAGGTTTATTAGCCCTAAGTTTACCTAACCTATCTCATCTTCCTTCAAGACTGAAGACATCAAGATAATAGGTTAAGGTATTTCCAATATTTGCAGGGATGTTAACTGCCATCTTTTACAATGTCCTTCCTATTCCAGATCACAGAAATGGCACCTGGAAATTTCCAGAATTGGCCTTATACCTTCCAGGAGTAGCAAAGCCTTGCAGATGGGTCACCACAGCATGAGACTTCCCTTCCTACAACCCAAAATAGAAAGAATCATCTCACGAGAAACTGAATTACCCACTGCCAGGATCACAGGTCTGATAGATAGATATCCAAGCAACAAATGGATGCCCCTGAAGTGATAAGGAGTTCTCCAGAGCCACCTCATAGAATCAGAAATGAGAATCAGACTTCAGTTTATCCAAGAATATTTAATTATTGATACCTCTCACCTCCTGCCCCAGTTCTTTCTCTATTTAAACCTAAAGCTCATGTTGGTACTCCCACATCAGGACTGAGATACTTGATCCTATTTTTCTTCCCAATATAGCTCTATCAATTAAAATTCCTTTCTTGCTTTTTACTATTAATTTTTCTGTTTATTAGGGGTTGGTGTGGGGTGCCGCAGTCTGGCTGGGCACAATTCAGGAGCCACTTGTCAAAAGAAACAAACTTTATTTTTAGAAAACACACACACACCTCACCACACAGCTCTTCAGGAAAACCCTCAGAGCCCAACTGCCACCACGGGTTTCCCCCAGGCTTTTCCCCCTCCCCCACTCCTCCTGCTCTTGAGGCCCATTGGCTGGGTTGCATGGGCGGAGCCAAAAAAAGTCCCCCAATGAACAGCTCCCTGGTCTGAAAGGGCTGGGAAACAGCCCAATGAGCATCACCACCGCAGAGGAGCCAATCAGTTGGCAGCTAGAAGTTTGCTCGGGTGCTGTGAGCCAATCATCAGCTGGCAGCTGGAAGTTTGCTGGCAGCTGGAAACGCTGGGGCCCTTTGGCTATGGCTCTCAACAGTGAGGGATGAGTGACCAGACCCGATTTGTTGGAACCTTCAGTCAAGTGTTTGGTCTCAAACTGCAGTAACACTGATATTTGAGAGAGAGGAATATATGCTGTGGCTCAGAGTTTCTATGAGTCTGTACTTACTCATTGCTTGACTCATCATAGTATATCTTGGCCAGCTCCCTCATTTAATAAAAGAAATAATTGAGAGATACAGGTTCCTTCTCAACTACACAGCAACAGCAATGAAACTAGTTGTATGGCTCTCCCTCCCATGGTTTACCTCCAGGCCAGTGAAAGAAGCATGGATATCAGCTTCTTACACCTCTGAGGGTAAATAAATGTTGGGAGGTAGTGCCAGGGAAACATGATGCCAGAATTTGGCTTTTCAACCTAGACAAATTGAAGTCGTCTTTCCCTCAGGAATCCATTGGTAGCTTGGCCATGCAGACAGCTTACCCTTCCTATGAGCCTCAGGAAGGGATGAATAACTGATTCTCCAATAAGATGGAGCCTGGGACCCACGAATGGATACATCAGTGAAGTGGACATATTCAACTGTATCCTACAATCCAGCCCAAGACTTGTATCCATCAAATTTCACCTCCCCTCCTCCTTCTTCCAGTGTTTACTGTCAGATCTAAATTAGCCTCTGGAATGATGGAGGTAGAAGGTTTCATTCTTCTCTTCCTGCATCCATTAGAAATGGAATTCCTAATTGAGCAATTCCAACAGCAGGGGAGATGGAAGAGCAAAGACTTTGGCCTTAGAAAAGACTGGTTCAAGTCCTAGATTATTATTAAATCTAACGTAATCAAATTACTTCTATAAGTATTCTTGTATTAAATGAAGATACTAGCATTTACCTCAAGACTATGGTAAAACACAAGTAAATTTCTTTTTTACCAGAAGGCATAAGGAAGGGCATTGGCTTCAAGGCTTTTGAAGTTGGTTTCTTTCAGTTCTCCAAATGTCCTTGAATTGTACTTGATGAACTAGAAGAGTAAGAAATACAAATAGAAGCTTTTAGAAGAAATTATGGGAAAGATATTTTTCCCTGAGAGAATGATCATTAAGGATATATAATAGAAATTTAGAAATTGACATGTAGACTGGGTTGGTGTTTAATTTCTCCAGAGCTCCTGTATGATCAAGGCTGTACTTCTGAAAATCTGTATCTCTTTTCTTAGAAATTGGCTTCATCCTTGACTGCAGTTGTAATCTGAGCTATATAATGCTTTCAGGGCCAGAAATGGGAGCCAGAAAGAGAACCTACTGGTGAAACTCAGAAACATACCTCTTGGAATCAGGAGTTCAGCCTAAGTGAGGAAAGTCTTTTGACCCTAAATATTTTATGCTGCTTTTTGAATTAGTTCTGATTCTATTCTGGAAGCTATGCTTTAAGGAATTGAAGCCAGGACTACATCAAGGAATATATCCTAGAGTTACAGGAGCAAATTTTTAGTGTTCTGCCTAGGGATATCTAATCTTCAGCTTAGCAGCAGCATTCAAAGAGTAAAGAGGAATTTGTGGCATGGCAGAAGAGAAAACTTGGAGAAACAGTTCTGGAAGCTCACAAAGACGGTGATATGGGACACTCAGATGGTTAGGGAGTGTCTTGGTTCGTTTTCTATGGCTAGTAACATGATACTCCAGACTGGGTAAGTAATAGAGAGAAGAGGCTTATTTTGGCTCCTGGTTCTGGTCCAAGATCAGGGGACCACATGTGATCATGGCCTGCTTTCTGGCAGAGTCCCAAGGCATCATCTAGTGAGAGACAGCACAAGAGATAGAGTCAAGCTGCCTTTTATAGCAGACCCACTCTCTAGATGTTAGTCTGCTTTGAGTCACTGTGACAAAAACACCCAAGAAGAGCAAATTAGAGGAGAGAAAGTTTATTCTGGTGCATGGTTTCAGAGATTTAGGCTATGATGGGCTGACCATTGCTCTGGGTCTCAGGTGAGGCAGCAAATCATGGCAGAAGGAAAGCTTCTCAGGACATGGTAAGCCTCTCAGGAAGCAGAGAGAGGGAAGGGACATCAGGGAAGATGAATCCTTCCAGGGCACACCCCCCAGTGTCTCAGCTTCTCCAGTCAAACCCTACCTGACGATAGTTACCACCCAATCAGCCCATTTAAGCTAGGATGGACTAGTTAGGTTATAGCTCGCATAATCTTGTCATTTCACCTCTGTGTATGCCTGCATTTACACAGAAGCTTTTGAGGGATACCTCACATCCAAACCATAACATCCCATTAATACACTAATTGCATCAATGGACCAACCCACTCATGAGGACAGAGCCCCATAATCATCTCTTAAATGTCATAAAACAGCAAGCTTTGTGAACTGAACATCTCATAATGGGGAATAAATTTAAATAGGAGTTTTGGAGGGGACAAACAATATTCAAAACAGCAAGGAAGGAGACAGTCTTAGAAGGGCAGAGTCAGAAAGAAGGAAAAGGAGCTCTTTGTCTTTGTTTCTCATAAATATAAGTACATAGAAATTCAGTGTGTGGAATACTGGTAAGCCATTTTGCTAATTTTCTGCCAGAAAATAAAACAGCAGTAAGAAAAGGATTTATGATTGGGCTAGTCTTATCTTCTTTGTCCTCTGAAGACTGATACTTCCTTTATGCCTCTGAGCTTTGAGAAAATAGGTTAGTGATTCTTTCCTAAAGCTCCATACCTTCCAATATTGATCTGCCTCTTTGCTTAAACGTATAAACTATTGCAGCACAGTCAAGGTCATGTCTGGAGTGGATGAAACTAAATAGAAGCCAGGGCTGGAAATAGAATCAGCAAGGTTGAACGAGATTGGAAATCGCTTCAACTAAATCTCTGTACCCCATCTCAGTGGATCCTAGCTCTGGCTTTAGTCTAGAATGTTTTGGACCTTTCTTTAATATTTCTAACAACTCCTGAAAACAGGACTCTTCTCTTTCTCCTCCTTTTCTCAAATCTGTAAAAAAAAATTAACCCATTTTAACAAGCAGCCTTAATCCTGAATGCTACAATAAGGAATGGTGTTCAAGTCTCAACCCAGAAATTTTGGTTTTGGCACCAGCAATTGAACCAAGGGACACTTAACCATTGAACCACATCCTCAACCCATTTTTATATTTTATTTTGAGACTGTGTCTCACTAAGTTGCTTAGGGCCTCACTAAATTGCTGAGGTTGGCTTTGAACTTGCTATCCTCCTGCCTTGGCTTCCTGAGTCATGGGATTACAGGTATACACCACTGTGCCCAGCCCAGAACCAGGACATTCTTGGTGGAGCTGAGTCCACATTAGAGGAAACTGAAATATAACCTGAATTGCCTTTAAAAAAAAAGGAGTTTTATTATATGTATCCCAGATTCCAGGAACAAGGAAGGCCAAGTAAGTAAGGGGCAATATTTCTATAGGGTAAGCCTGAAGTAGACTAACAAAGCAAAGAACAGTTTACCTCTTTATTCCTCTGCATCTATCCAAAACTTTTAAATCCCACTTTATGAGATGCAAGTTCAGATTGCAGCCACACTTAAGTCCTAGTGTCCTCAAGTCCTAGCAAGATAAGTCTTCAAAAGCAAATTCTTTTCCCCCCAGCTTTTTAAAAAATCTAATTTGTTATATATGACAGCAGAATGCATTACAATTCATATTATACATATAGAGGACAATTTTTCTTTTTCTTTTTTTTTATTTTTCCTTAATCTCCTTTACATCTTATTTTTGTTTTAAATTTTTACAGAGGACAATTTTTCATATCTCTGGTTGTACACAAAGTAGAGTCACATCATTAGTGTCTTCATACATGTACTTAGGGTTGTGATAGTAGAAGCAAATGTGACTCCATTTTGTTTTATGACTTCATCCTGTAAAACAACCATGCCAAATAGAAGGGTCATGACCAGGGCAAAATGTTCTTTTCCTTTTGCTATAAAAACCTTTAAGAACACGGAACTACCTAATGGGGCATTGTTTCTGTAACTAGGGTAACAGGGGCTCTGTTTCTGTAACTTGGGTGATTGGGCTGTGATTGGTTAGGCTTCCCGCCACTTGACTGCACTGTCCTGCTTCTGTAACCTGGCTTGCTTGCATTGGCTAGACCCCGAACATCCCTTTTGCAGTTTTTAGGCTTATAAGGAGTGCCCTTGCAATTGTTCAGGGCTGATCAGGGGAACAGCTTTATGTTCTGGTCAGTCGTCACTGGTGTGCTTCAATAAAGGCTTGATTCAATTATACGTGAGTGGTCTGGAAGTCAGTTTATGAAACCCTGGGACGAAGCTTTAACTATAACAGGGTAATGATGTCCATCTCATTCCACCATCTTTCCTATCCCTTTGCCACCACCATTCCCCTCTCTCCCCTTTGCCCTGTCTAGAGTTTGTCTAGTCCTCCCATGCTCCCCCATCCAACCCATTATGAATCAGCCTCCTTATATCAGACAAAACATTTGGCATTTGGTTTTTTGGGACTGGCTAACTTCACTTAGCATGATATTCTTCAACCCCATCCATTTAATTGCAAAAGCCATTCTCTTTTAATGCTGAATAAGATTCCGTTATGTATATATACCACATTTTCT